CCCCCGCCCCCCCACTTTGAGTTTGGGGAAGATTTTTGGGGTCCAGAATTGTTTTTTTGGAATTGGAGCATTTTTTGGGGGAATGAAAGTATTTTTGGGATGCAGACACTGCTTTGGAAATCCAGAATTCTGCTTCGGAATTACAGAATTTTTCTTTTTTAAGGGCAGATTTTTTTGGGGAGGGTTACCCATTTTTTGGGGGAGATACAGGAATTTTCTGGGACACAATTTTTTTTTGGTTGCAGATTCTCTTTTGGGTATTTTTTCAGTGTCCCTTCTAAAAGGCAAATGTGTTCCAAATTTTAAATTTTTTTAACTTCATCAAATTTTTTGGACGCAAATTGTTTATTATATGCACAGCTCTTCTTAAAGAACGCTTTTTAGCGAGCTGTGCCAAGTTTCTTTCAATTCTTCTTTTCCACACAAAACTCTTCCAAGTGCACTCAATTTTATTTCTGCACCTTTTCCAGAATAACATTTTTCTGGACTGCCAATTTTTTCTTTCTAATTTTTATTTTTCTTTTAAACCCCAATTTTTTTCTGCCACCCAAATCTTTGAACCCCATTTTTTTCTTTCTGGACCCCAAACTTTCCCGAGGCACAGCATTATCTCTGCAACACCCTTTTTTTCCCAAACGCCAATTGTGGGGTTAATTTTTTTTTTTAAAGAATTCTAATTATTCCTGGGAGCACCCCTGCTTTCCTTGGCCTGCCAACCCTTTTTTGGGGCGCCGTTTCTCAGGGAATACGCCCATTTTTGGGGAAAACACCCTTTTTTTGGGGGGAACACGCGTCCTTCCGGACCCCCGCTCTCCCAGAACGCAGCGGCGATTTTGGGAAGGCAAAGCGCTTTTTGGGGGGGCGTGCAGCACATCCCCACCGCCCCCCCAGCACGTACCACTCCTCGTCCTTGTGCGCCAGGAAGAATTCCTGCAGCTGCTGCCGGCGGAAATCCAGCTTGTAGTCGTTGTAGCGCTTCACCGCCTCCGTCTCGTCCAGTCCACGGCGTCGTCCAGAGACAGCAGGAACTCCTTGAAGCTCTTCATCACCGGGGGGGCCATGCCCAGGTCCACCTCCGCGATGGTGCCCAGCCTGGGGGGTCACAGCGGGGCCTGGGGTCAGCCTGGGGTCACCACGGGGCACTTTGGGGTCAGTCTAGGGCAGTTTGGGGTCACCACGGGGCACTTTGGGGTCAGTCTTGAGCAGTTTGGGGTCGTTATTTGGGATTTCCATCACCGGGGGGGCCATGCCCAGGTCCTGCTCTGTGATTGTTCCCCATCTCAAGGGGTTTGGGATCAGTACTGGGGGGTTTGGGGTCACTTTGGGGTCACCATGGGGCAGTTTGGGGTCAACATCAGGGGGTTTGAGGTGATGACAGAAGAATTCGGGGTAGTTGTTGGGAGCATTGGGGATCCCGAGTGTGATTTTGGGGTGATTTGTGGGGTTTTTGGGGCTCACCTGGCCTGGATGGGCAGCAGCTGGTGCTGCAGGAGCTGGTGCTGCATCTCGTGGGGGCCCCAGGGCGTCTGGGGGGGGCCGTAGGTGGGGCCGGCCCCGCCCCCGCTGTAGGGCAGCTCGTAGCCACTGTGGTAGGGGTCAGTGCCGTGGTCATCCCTGCGGCCACAGGGGACAGCGGTCAGTGTGGGCAGTGTGGGGTTTGGGGGGTCAGGGGTCAGTGCCCTGGTCATCCCTGTGGCCACAGGGGGTCAGCGAGGCCGTGGAACGGCCACTCCGGGGTCATCTCCGAGGAAAAATCCGGCAAATTTTGGTGTTTATTTGGGGGGT